CAAAACTGCCACACTGTGAAACAAGATAATTTCAAGTAAAAAGTGTGCACTAGTAGAGTACAGCAGCGAGCAAAGCAAGTCATATAACCAAAATGGTGCATGTTCATTTTCCCAGCATTGGGGTTAGCCAAAATGAATGGGCAGCGCACTAACACACATTATGTCACATCCATTAATACACTGCAATGCTAAAACATAAATAGGAATAGGAGTGTATACTATATCTGTAAAAAAATAAGTCAAGGCAGCTGGACTTGCTGTATTTTTCTTGAAGACGTTTCACTGGTCATCCAACCAGCTATTTTTTACAGATATACCATGACCTGGATGAATGAGAACCTTCACAGACATGAGTGTATACTGTTATGTCCTTTTCACACGGACAAATCAGGATCTATGCACGGATCCCCTCTTGATCGGAGTGGTATGGATTAGATGTTACCGCTGTGACATCCGTGTCCGTCCAGTTTTTTTCCATCTTGTGGAGTAAAAAACTGAAATGACCGGACCCCATGTTGGTCTATGGGGAATCTCATGTAAACAAACATGTGTCCGTTACATCAGATTACCCCCGATCCGGCTTGATCAGGTCTATTAAAATGGAAGACTGTTCCATTTGCTTTACCGGACCTGGCCGGAGTCGGAGGCAGCGGTGTATTTATTTACAAATGCTGCTTCCCTAGGCAAAACAGCAACGCCCCCCCCACTCGCGGCAGATACGCCCCTGGTCGGAGGTAACTAGTAGGGTTCCCACCTTTTCTGCCATTGAAACCTGAACACTCTAGCGACGCATATAATTTTTTGGGGGTGAATGACTCGCGGCTTATTCATATGTAAATAGCGCCACAGCATTTAAAACCTGGACTGTCCGGGTGAATCCTAGACAGGTGGCAACCCTAGTAACCGGGGTTAAGCGGACGCCCATCTGATTAGACCTCGTTGCCCATAGACTTACGTTGGGCATCCTATTAGGTCCACCTGGCAAACTGACAGGCAGACCTGATGCTGTGGCGCTATTTACATATGAATAAGCCGTGAGTCATTCTCCCCCCAAAAATGTGAAATCAGGTTCCATGTGAAAGGGGCCTTAGGGCTCGTGCAATGGCGCACTGGGGTATACAATGTAAAAATATGCGCTTTTTCTTTCCTGCTCAGGAAGCCCAGCTGATGCTAGGGTTGCCACCTGTCTGGGATTCACCCAGACAGTCCGGGTGTTCAATTCTGTGTCCGGGTTTCATGGCAGCTGAGACCCGAAACAGGCTGACAGGGCAGCCATGGGGCCCTGCTGTTCCTGCTTGTATGCAGCCGCGCACAGTACTAGGGGTGGACTTATCACCCCTGCAGCCATGCCAGGGACGAGGTCAGTACATATTTATACTTTATCCCTGCAGTCCTATGTCGACAAAGATTTGGTGTTGTTAAACGGCTGCAGTGAGGAAAAGGTTGTGACATACAGTATATGCTCATATTTTGTTTGTGACACTCCTGCAGAGGTATTAAATGGGACATCATGTCAGATCTGAAGATTTCTGCCCACACAGGTTAACATTAAGGCGGCAGGACGACCTTGCTCCTCCAGTGCTGCAGAGAGATTCACTTTACTCCTTTAAGTGGCTGTGGCACATTAGCTGACATGCAGGAGGTGCTCATTTGCATGTCTCTGACCTCTATACTATGAATGCCAGGGGGACAGCAACCATTTTGTTCTCCCCCCTTTCCCTCTGCTGCTTTTCCCGCTCTTTTTTGTTCTCTCCTGACAGGATTGGCCATGGCAATTACCTTATTTTAGGCGGGAAAAGCTGCTGATTGGCTGAAGAGGGTTATATAAACACAGACTGTTGTGACCTTCTCACCTTTCTCCAGCTGACATCCAGGGGAGCTTCCCACTAGGGTTGCCACCTGTCCAGGATTCACCCGGACAGTTCGGGTTTTGAATGTTGTGTTCGGGTTTCATGGCAGCAGAAACCAAACTATTTTATGACCGATAAAGAGTGGAATAAGCAGAATTTGGAGGAACACACACTGCAATTTTTTTTACTACGTTTTTATTGTAAGATCTTTTGATCTTTTATGTAACACTTGACATTATAGTGGAACTAATGTCCCGCAACGTCCTGCATGCATTACATAACAGGGGCGTCCCAAGGCCGGATGTCACCTGGAGCGGTTACCGGGTGACACCCCGTTGTGACATCATCACGCATGCGAGCGACGTCACCATGCGCGTGTGTGTTGACGTCATTGCACATACACGGCGATCTTATTGATGAGAGAGAGAGGACCGATCAGGATCTGTGCACGGATCCCCTCTTGATCGGAGCGGTATGGATTGGATGTTACCGCTCTGACATCCGTGTCCGTCCCCATGTTGGTCTATGGGGAATCAGATGTAAACCGACAGCGGCCTTAGGGCTTGTGCACATGGTGCATTTTGAGAGAAAGGAGGAGACAGTCACCTGGCGGGATGAGGTATGCCGCCGGGTCCCCTCCTCTCTTCCGAAAGTCCATGACCGAGTGTTCGACTTTCAGAGGGGGTGACACCAAAATGACTGTCAGTCATTTTGGTGTCACCCCTCCAATGGTGTCACCCGGGTGTGGGCCACACCCCCCACGTGACACCAATGTTACATAATACACGGCAATGCATGTTATGTGCATTGGCACAATGCAGTACCTTTCATTTTACATGCACAGGTCCGTCCCCATAATGAAGCAGCATCTCATTGGGGGGGGGGGGGAGGGGGTTGAAAGCAGAGCTTGGCTACCCGCTGCTACCACCTGCCTGACTGACAGCTCGGCCCTCCTCTCATAGCCACCTCAGCTGGTGAATAAGGTAGGGACAGCCTTGTGCATGCATTGATATTTTACACTTGGGGGTTCATTTATAAAACTTTTGCCCGGCGTATAGCTGAGTGGATGCCATCTGCACGTTGCTGGCGCCTCTAGGTGGCACTGATGAGTAGCAATTTCCTATGCTTGTCAGGGCATCCACCCAGCGCAGGGATTAGGGTTGCCACCTTTTCTTCCAGCGACAGCTGACTCGATGGACCAAACCAACGAACACTCTAGTGATGCACAGAAATTTTATGGGGAGAATGAGCCGCGGCTCATTCATATGTAACTAGCATCACCCATTAATATGTAAATATCACAGTCAAGACTATTTTAAGTGCAGGGCCCAGTAGCCCCTATCTTAATTTTGGTTGCCCCTGTCTGCCTGACATCTTATGTCCGGGTTTCAGCTGCCATGAAACCCGGACACGGCATCCAAAACCCGGACAGTCCCGGTGAATCCTGGACAGGTGGCAACCCTAGCAGGGATCCCAACCTGAAAGAAGCAATTTCAGGGAGGTGTCCCTCTCATTTCAGGGAGGTGCCCTCCCCCCCCATCCGCGGAGCGGGGTTAAGGGGGGCTGGGAGAGAGCACCCCCCTGAAATGATGGCCGATAGCACAGGAAGCAATAGCTTATTTGCTATCTGCAGGGTTTTTAGAATTCTGACAGTTGCTGTCGTCAGAATAATAAAAAAAAAGGCATAGGAGGACCTGATAGAAAAAGGCATAGAAGAGGACCTGATAGAAAACTTCAGGTCCCCCTCTGCTGATTGACAGCAGCAGAGGGCGGGTGCATTAGTTAGTTTGATATTGGCTATTGCAAAGTGCAATAGCCAATAGGAATCTAGCTATGCATTCCTATGCCTTTTTTTTTTTTCTGACTGACGGCATGCCGCGGCTCCCGATGTCAGAAAAGAAAAAAAAAATCGATCGCAGGGAAAGGTTTACTCTGCTAGATCGAGCAGAGTAAACCTTTCCGGGAGAAAGTGTTTCTCTCCCGGGCGGCCGGGAGCCGCTAATAGCGGGAGCCTCCCGGACCGTGCGGGAGAGTTGGGATGTCTGCCAGCGTATACTCTTATAAATAAACCCCATAGTGTACATCAGGGGTGGCCAATCTTGGCCCTTCAGCTGTATTGAAACTATAAGCCCCATGAGGCATTGTCCAAAAATAAAAAATAGCCACGCTAGAGTGTTCGGGTTTCGCTTGAAGAAAAGGTGGCAACCCTAACTGATACGTAGAGCTGCCCACAGACATGAATTGCTGTGCATGGGTGTTAACCTGCGTATACCATACAGATGTATCAGCAGAATGTAAGCACCTGCGTATTCAGGCGAAGAGCCATTCATGTCTATGGGCAGCTGCACGCACCAGGTGGGCATAGAAATAAAAGCACATTTTTACACTGTATGCCCCAATGTGCATGAGCACTTAATAGACTGAGGGGGGAATTTATTCAAACCGGAGCAGACAGAATCTGGAGCAACCGGCCATAGTAACCAATCAGCTTCTCTCTTCAGTTTGTTCAGTTAACCTTGAAAGTGAAAGATAGAAGCTGATTGGTTGGATGCCATGGGCTACTGATTCAGATTTTGTCTGCTTCAGTTTTGATAAATTTCCCCCAGAATATTTAGACACGGCCAATATTTAGCGCAATGTAGCCATGTCCACATTTTCCAACTCTTGAGCCCTCGCCGCATGCGCTGCATGTTATCTATGTCAGAACATCCCTCTTTCTCAAGTTCTAAAGTCAAAAGGTCCACAGTCCTATCCTATACTAAAGCAACAATGTTTATGAAAATCATACAGAATGTGGTCATAACGGTACAATTGTAATTATAACTGACAGGAGTATCTCTAGAGAACTTGGACTCCCCCTGGAAATCAGGCCCAGGTTCCATCTGAAAAACAGAATCCACATCTGTTGAACACAGAGCAAACCACTGGTATTATGTCCGCATATATTTGTCCATTTTGTTGGAGACTGCCAACGTGGGAGTGAATGCTTGATCACCGGCAATATGGCCGCCCTCCTACTGCTAGAAGCGACATTTTACTGCCACACTTCAGGCTCTAGTGTTTATTGGTCCCAGGTGACTCGCTGAGTTTGAGATACGCTCGTTCAGGTCTAGTGTACACCGGAAGTGACGTACGGGAGACGGGCAGTATCTTGGTTACCTAGAGACGGGAGGACTCGGCTTCTTGGTTACCCTGGGATAGGATTTTGTAGTTCTGGGAGCTCCATTGACAGAGGGCCGTGTAACTGCTGGCCCAGAGATACAACAATGTTCATCTACCTGAGCAAGAAGGTGAGGAGCTGGCTGCCATCGCTTGGTGTCTGATCTGATTGGTGGTGTGGGGGGAGGGGGATATATAGGGACAGTATGTAAACAAGGATGGCCATGCATGGGGGGAGGGGGGATGTGATCAATTAAAGCTGAACTCCAGACAGACATAAACACACATCTGAAATACATACAGGAGAGCTGATTAACCTGCTGAACCATCTGTACTTCTTTCTATCCAGTTCTCAGATTTACACAGGAGACCTGATTTTTTTTTCACTGCTGCAGCCCGGCCACACTCACAGGTCTAGTCCCTTCTCCAGCCTGTGACTGGACCGTGAAAGGAGCAGCAGCAGACCTATGAGATCATCTCTCTGTCATTCTGCTCCCTCCTCCATTCAGCATGCTCCTTGTACTGCAGCACAGCTGAATGGCCACTTGTGCTGTTTGCTCCTTTCCCCAGTCTGAGCTCTGCTGTAAAAGTACTGCAAGAGGTTGATACCGGTTGCAAATGTAATGAACACGGGGCTGCATTCCTTTCTTTGATAGATGTCTGTAGTTCATCTTTACCAGGGAACGATTGGACATCCTGCATGCAGATATTCCCTGGAGGAGGATGTGATGGACCACTTCTGCCATCACTCTTCTATGTGTCTGTACATGTGGTGGTAGTCATGAGGTCGGCCTTCTTCTAGCCTTTGTTGTAGTGATCAGAAACTCCGGGTTAATTTCTGCCCTATCAGCAAGAATTAAAACTAGGGATGCACCGATACCGATACTAGTATCGGTACTGATACCGAGTATTTGGGCAAGTACTCGCCCAAATGCTCCGACACCTTCCCCGATACCGGAACTTCCGGTCAAAGGAACTGGCAGTGTCATTGGGGAACATGGAGCCAGCTTCCCGAGCAATCCAGAAGCTGGGCGGCGAGTAATGACCCGCCTCCCAGCTTCCTGATTGGGAAGCCAGCTCCATGCTGATTGGCCGGGAAGCCAGCTTTCTGCCAATCAGCATGGAGCCTGCTTCCTGGCCAATCAGGAAGCTAGGGGCGGGTCATTACTCAACGCTCAGGTTCCTGATTGGCCGGGAAGCCGGCTCGATTATGATTGGCTGGGAAGCCGGTTTCCCGGTCAATCACAATCGAGCCGGCCAAACAACATGGAGCCGGCTTCCTGGGCAATCAGGAAGCCAGGTGGCATGTCCTTACCCACCTTCCGGCTTCCTGATTGCTCGGGAAGTCCACTCCATGCCAGCGGAAGCACCAATATTGGTACTCCGTATCGGCGAGTACCGAGAGCTAATCGCCTGTGATCTGCCGCTATGATTGTTCATAGTCCATACACACAGAGATCATTGCACGGGACTGTCACATGGACGCAGATCCCCCGATCCGTCCCAGATACACCACACATCTACCTTCCAGGGCTCATGTCTCACCGTGTACAGTCCTTTGGTGTGACACTGTTGTGCTTTCTTACCTGGATTTCCTGCCAGTGACAGCACTTCCTTTTGCAGGCTGACAATGCTAAGCCTCTGCCTCGCATATAGCAGCAGCGTTGCCAGCCTGCCACGTGCGTCCTATCATTTGGCTGTTGGGCTATCCATCTGATAGACCTGAATTTTGTTTTTCATTAAAGCTGGTCTTCAGGAGTGCTATGTGTTAAACTTACACTGGCCCAGATTGGGGAGAAGTAGGCAACCTCGGCACTCCAACTGTTGTGGAACTGCAAGTCCCATGAAGCACTGCAGGACTCTGACAGCCACAGGCATGTCTCCCATCGGAAGAAGCACAATGCGATTTGTAGTTTGCTGAAGTTGCCTTCCCGCTAGTGTGACTGTTAAGATGCCCACACAGCTTACGATAATCGCACCATAATCGCGGGAAATCCCGCGATCGTACGATTATCATAAGGTGTGTGGAAGGCTTGCGACCTCTGCTACTGTAAGGTCGCACGACTTTTATCTTAGGAACATGTTCGAAAACCCGCCGAGCATCGTACGATTTTCGGCGGGTGTGTAACATGTTCGTAAGATAAAAGCCGGACGGGCCGGTGTGCGCAAGCGCACACTGCCCATTCAGCATTGCGATCATCGCAAGTACGATCTGCCTGTCCAAGATGGGCAGATCGTACGTTTTTTTAATTACCTTACAACCATCGCAAGACAAAAGTCTTGCGCTGGTTGTAAGGTGTGTGCCCAGCCTTAGGGGCGAGATCAGGTTCTGTCCAAACCTGAACTCCTCCGAACAAAGAAGGAAGCTTCTTCTCAATCAGCTGCAGCCGGGAATTCCCTGCCAGAAGTTGCATGTTAGCAAAAGGGCGGGATGCAGTGACATAATTGACCATATATGGCCACATGGCTATATAAGGTAAATGACATTGGCCTAATATGGCCATTGAGCCATATAAGGTCAGTAATGTCAGCACCCCACCCCTTTGTTTATGTGCAGCTGTGGATGGGGGATGCTCTGGTCAGGTGGCCCTATATGGGCCTGAGGGAGCGCAGGTTCAGACCAGGTTCAGTCTCTCAACTTGAGCTCATCCCTAGTACCTATCCATGTGTCACATCTGGAGGGATGCTGGGGATGCTGAAACTCACTGTAGTGGTCTGTGCTACATACTTTGAGCGCTTTTATGTAGACATGTGCGATTCGTTTAGGAAAGATTCGTTATTCGGATGTATCCGAATCTCCGAATAACAGAAATGACTAATGAAAACTAATCCAAATTTCTGGAAACTAAAATGACGAAATTCGGCAGTCTGTACAAAATTTTCTTTGGTGGACGAATGTTCGTTGCAGCAAAGTGACATTAGACAAAAAAACTAACAAAAAACAAACCTTTTTAAAAAAATTTTTATATAGTCGGCAGAAGAGAAAAAAACAAAACGTGAGGTTCCCCCCAATTGGTACCAGATCCTTTGGGTCTGGTAGGAATGTTAGGAGGGACCCCCCAAGTAACCCCCCCAAGTAAAAAAAAAAAGTGCATGGGGTTCCCCACAAAATCTATAACAGGCCCTTTAGGTCTGGTAAATACAAAAGATCCGGCGTCTGTACAGGCACCGGATCGCTTGTACAGTTCTGTGGCGTGTGTGTGTCCCCTCCGCCGCCGACTCTAGCGTCGGCTTTCAGGGCTTCACTGTCCCCCGTGTGAGCCCGGGACCGGCGTGGAGGGTCTCCTCTGACAGATCGGAGGGAGATCAGCAGACTTCTAACCGCTGATCTCTCCTCCGATCACTGGACCCGGAAGTGATATGCATTACATCACTTCCGTTGTCACTGCGCACATTCTCTGGCTCCTACAGCCAGAAGAAGAAGCTGGTGTAGCAGATCTCTCCTTCATCAGCTTCTTTGGGGTCCCTAGGTGACAGGGGTCTGAAAGACCTCCGATGTCTCCATAAAGAGGACCTGTCACACCCTATCTGCTATTACATATCGGGCTTGTTAGCCCCCTATGCAATAGCAATAAAGCTGAGTGTAAAAAAAAGAAAAAAAAAATGTAGTAGCAGATAACATTTTTTCTTTGCATTTAAAAAAAAAAAAAAAGTCCCCCGCCCCCCACGTGCACGCACATACAACGCACGCACGTGTCGGAATGCGCCTATGTGCAAAAACTAAAATTGCGCCACACATGTTGCATATCGTCGCCAGCGTCGCAGTGAGAGCAATAATCCTAGGCCCATTAATCCCTGTTAGCACTAAACCGATGAGCCGTAAAAGCGTTTAAAGCGTCGCCTATGGGAAGTTTTGGTTATGGTCGTTTTTTGCAGTTTTACGGGTGAATGCAATTTTAAGGCTTGACATGTTTGGTATATATTTACCCGGCGTGACCCCGTCTTTTATATTTTACCAAATAATTGGGTGTTTTATTCTGTTTCTGTGCACTAAATTTCATTTTAGTGTATTGTAGCCTACAAATACTGGTTTGATAAACATTTGCGTAAATATTGTGCAACATAAAAAATTGCAACTGGCATCTTTTGATTCTACAGGGCCTCTGCTTTCAGAAAATATATCATTGCTTGGGGGTCTGAAGCTGTTTTTCTAGCCAGAAATTCTGATGCACCGATATATCGGCCACCGAAACATATCGGCCGAAAATGGCACTTTTGGCTAAATGCCGAAAGTGCCATTTTTCTGCCGATACAGCGGCGCATCCCTACTTTATTTCCTCCCGCTGGGCGCTGCTCTGTGTCCCAGCGGGGAGGAGAGAAACTGTCACAGGCGGCCGAGCGCTGCGGGAGGAGAGCGCTGTGAGCGGTCGGCGTCTCTCCTCCCACACCGCTCAGCCTCCTATCACAGATCAGAGGAGAGAGGAGTGTGGGCAGAGACAGGCCGCGCTGTCACAGGAGGCTGAGCTCTCCTCCTTACACCGCTCGCTCAGCCTCCTGTCAGGATGGAGAGCGAGTACAAGCAGTCGGTGATCAGTGATCGCTGAGTGTTTGTAGATAATTGAGGACCTGGTATGTGTACTATATCCTCAATTATGAATGAATGGGAAGTGATCTACATCACCTCCTGTTCATTCATAGTTGTGGTTATAGTAAACATACTCTGTCCTCATGTTATCAATGATCAGGAACACTCAGTATAGAGGACTATGTCTCTGAGGACTCTGTGTCCTCAATCTATTTTTCTATTTTAAAAGGGAAATATCAGGGGTCTGTTTAGATCCTTATTTCCCCGAAGAAAGGAAAGTAAAAAATATTTAATAAAAAATGAATTAATAAATAAAAATAAATATAAAAAAATTAAAAAGTTTATAAAAAATGAATAAAAATTAAATATTTAAAAACATTATTTTTTTTTATTTCGGTTTCGTTTCGGTTTTGAAATTTCCATTTTGGTACACTACACGCCTGCACTACACACCTACATTACACTATACGCCTGCTTACACCACATTGTGTCCATACAATCCTATGGCTACAAATACATGGCGGCTGGGGCTCCCAGGCTCGTGTGCATACACCGTAATGGAGACAGCCGCGTCCATGTTTCTATAGAACATTGGCGTATGTGACTTCCGTGTGATGCAAACTAACGATACAAATAATTTCTTCTCTTTCAGATCGCCATTCCCAATAACATCCAGCTAAAGTGCATCTCATGGAACAAGGACCAGGGATACATAGCATGCGGAGGAGAATCCGGATTGCTGAAGGTTTTAAAACTGGAAATGCAGAGCGGTAAGTAAACGGCGTCCTTTCTGCCCGTCACTGAGGAATCCTTTCAGCTTGGCTCTGGAGCGGCCGCAGTTGACTTAGTATCATTCCCAGGAAGCAGATCTTACCCCGGGAGGGTATGTTGATGTAAAGTAAATTGGGACGATCCATCAAGGCAGAGCAGTATGCTGGGAGATGTGGGCTCGGTGCCCCCGGTCTAGGAGGTTCTGTTCACCGCTTGTGGGCACAGATTGTTATCATTAGGGGAAGGAAGGAAAGCGGCAGCAGAGATTTTCTTTTTGAGGCTCACACTTGTGGAAGGTCAATATTTTGTCGGATTCTGTACATTCTGTTCTGCCAGGGAGCAGTGTCCAGGCTCCTCCGCAGCTCAGGGTGATGACAGATCTCCTTGTAAGACATTTCATTTATCACCCGCTGGAACATCCTCATCCTTTTATTGCCTCCGGGCAGGTTTAATGAGAAGCAAACATACAGCGTAACACAGACTTTCATTTACCGAGGTATTCTTTCCTCACCAGAGACGTTTTTTAATGCAGTTCGGGTAGATACGTGAACTACTGAAATACTGCATGGCAGATGAAAGTTAAAACCAGGCTTCATGTAAATATTAACAGGTGAAAGAAATGGGGGATCCCCAGGAGCGGGGAAACCAAAGTGATCCAGATCTTAGAAATTCCAAAAATACATATATATTCCCAAGGAGTGTGCAACCCAGAATGTGCAGTAAAGAAAAACATCCCCCAAATTTCCCCCAACACTAACCCTCCCTGTAACACCAACACTAACCCTCCCTGTAACCCTCCCTGTAACTCCAACACTGACCCCCCCCATAACCCCAACACTGACCCCCCCCTGTAACCCAAACACTGCCCCTCCCTGTAACCCCAACACTGCCCCTCCCTGTAACCCTAACATAAACCCTCCCTTTAACCCCAACACTATCCCTCCCTGTAACCCTAACACTAACCCTCCCTGTGACCTTAACACTAACCCTCCCTGTAACCCTAACACTGACCCTCCCTTTAACCCTAACACTAACCCTCCCTGTGACCTTAACACTAACCCTCCCTGTAACCCTAACACTGACCCTCCCTGTAACCCTCTCTGTAACCCTAAGGCCCCGTTCACATTGAGCGATTTATCACTGACCCTCCCTGTAACCCTCTCTGTAACCCTAAGGCCCCTAAGGCCTCTGTAACCCTAAGGTTAGTGTGAATGGGGTCTCACACTAACCCTCCCTGTGACCTTAACACTAACCCTCCCTGTGACCTTAACACTAACCCTGCCTGTAACCCTAACACTAACCCTCCCTGTAACCCTAACACTAACCCTCCCTCTCATCTCCCTCCTAACCCTCCTAATACCTATCTCACTAACCCTCTCTTCTCTTGTGTTTGGATCCTCTGTGCTGAAAACCACCCCGCCCCGTGTGGAAGTCCTGGCACTGGAATATACTGGATTGAGAACATTGTATTTATCTTAATTAATCTTAGTTTTTTTTTCCCCAGATGACGCCAAGTTGAAAGGTCTCGCCGCTCCCAGCAATCTTTCCATGAATCAGACTCTGGATGGACACAGCGGTAAGATCCAAATGACAAGTCATATAAGCATCAGTTCACTAAAGCAGGACACGTGGTGCGCCATTCACAAAGCCAGCACATCAGGATCAGGACCAGGATTAGGATTCCTTTAAAAAAAAAAAAAAAAAAAGGACCAGGTTTAGGATCCTTTAAAAAAAAAAAAAAAGTGACAGTTGTATTCTGTTTAGTCCAATGAGATTTGAAAATGACAGTCACATGGCTAAATTAGAGAGCCATGTCCTCCAAACAATGCACAGTAATTAACATTCTACAGGCTTGATTGGCAAAGCTTAGATGATTTTAAGGCCCCTTTCACACAGGGTGACCAGGAGGGGATCTATGCACCTCCTGATTGGTGTGGTACGCATCGGATGTCACCGCTGTGACAACTGTGTCCGTCCAGTGTTTTCCTCCATCTTGCAGTAGAGGAAAGAACTGAAACTGCCGGACCACATGTCAGGGTATCAGATAACCTCTGGCATGAAATCAGGGGTGTAGACATTTTTAGAAAAAGTTCTTGACCAAGGACTAAAGGGGGAGGGAGGTGATACACCTCCAGTATACATGGTGATACACCTCCAGTATACATTGTGATACACCTCCAGTATACATGGTGATACACCTCCAGTATACATTGTGGTACACCTCCAGTATACATTGTGATACACCTCCAGTATACATGGTGATACACCTCCAGTATACATTGTGGTACACCTCCAGTATACATTGTGATCCGATATGATGCATTCTAAACTCTCTCCACTTCTGCTGCAGGATCTGTACAGGTGGTGACATGGAATGAACACTTTCAGAAGTTGACTACCAGTGACCAGAACGGCCTCATTATTGTGTGGATGTTGTACAAAGGTGAGACTGAATCTTCATAATCCAGTCATCCTCTTCATCCTATGTGTGCATGACACACGTACACTGTCCTGCCACACCTAACAGGATAGGCTTCTAGGGAGGGAACAAATCAATGTAGAATTCAGGAACCAGTCAGCCTTATATGAGGCGTCAGTCACCTAAGAAAAATGGCCAGTAAAGGATTGTGTGCTCCCAGTGACCCGCCTCTCGGCCTTTGTCCAGTCCGGAGTTGTCTGGATCTGGTATCAGTGAACTGAGACTGAGGCCTTGTTCACACCAAATGCAGACCAGATCTGCATGAGTTTCTGCACACGCAGTGCAGTGGGTTGTGCCGCGTTTTTGCCGCGTTTCTGATCCGTTCCGGGCCGTTTTTTTTTTTTAAAGTTTAGAATGGGCTTTGAAGGCCTGTTCAAATGATATCAGGTCCGGATCTGCAGATGTGGTGCTACTGATGCAGTGTGTTTTGGCTGCGCATGTGAGAACTGTAGCCCATAAAACACATAGGGATACATTGGGATGCATTTCTAGTGCAGGAGCGTACGGATCAGGTCAGCACACAAAACGGACGTCGTGTGAACAGGCCCTCCAGTGTGCTCCAGGGCGTTCCAGAGCAGGAAAAATAGGGCTTGCTGCAGTTTTATTGCATGCTCTGGAACTGAACGCTGCGGTGTGAACTAGAGCCCAAAATACCATTGGAATACATTGGACGCAGTTTTTTTCCGGTCTGCAACTGTTCTGCTCCAGGAACGCGCATGGTGTGAACAAGCCCTAAAGTCATTCTGTGTTTGCGTAACCACTTGCTGACCAAGGTGTTACACTCCCTTCCCATCCAGGCCATTTTTCAGTATTCAGCGCTGCGGTACTTTGGCTGACGTTTATTCCGTCATGCAACGCTGTACTGAAATACATTTTATACCATTTTTTTGGGGACAGATAGAGCTTTCTTTTGGTGGTATTTAATCACCACTGGGCGGTTTTAGTGGTAGCCACTGGGCGGTTTTAGTGGTAGCCACTGGGCGGTTTTAGTGGTAGCCATCAGGAAGCCACCTGGCTTGTTTGGCCGGCTTGATTGTGATTGGCCGGTAAACCGGCTTCCCAGCCCATCAGCATCGAGCCGGCTCCCTGGCCAATCAGGAAGCAGGGCGGTGAGTAATGACCCGCCTCCCGGCTTCCTGATTGGGCAGGAAGCCAACTCCATGCTGATTGGCTGGAAAGCCAATCGGCATCAAGGCGGCTGTTCGGCCGGCTCAAAGCTAATTTGCTGGAAAGTCAGTTTCCCAGCCAATCAGCAAGGAGCCAGCTGTTTGGCCGGCTCTATGCTGATTGGCTGGGAAACCGGCTTCCCGGCCAATCAGCATCCCGGCTCGATTACTCGCCACCCAGCTTCCTGATCGTACAGGAAGCTGGCTCTATGTTCCCCCATGGCACTGCCGGTCAGAGGAAACCTTCCCCTGATGGGAAGTTCCAGTATCGGGTAAGGTTTCGTAGCATTTGGGCGAGTACGAGTAATAAAGACCGGTCACTGCTGTTTCAGGCATCAGCCATTTAAATACTTTTCTGTCCTGTTTTTCTTTTTACAAAGACTCATATCTTCCTATTATTAAACTGTACAATGCTTCACAGGCTCCTGGTATGAAGAGATGATCAATAACCGGAACAAGTCAGTTGTGCGCAGTATGAGTTGGAACGCGGACGGCCAGAAGATCTGTATCGTATATGAAGACGGAGCTGTTATTGTTGGTTCAGTGGATGGTAATAACAGGCTTATGTCCGGTTCTCTCTGACCCTCCATACAGGTTATCTACAAATACCAATACATCACTTGGACAACAATTCACATTTCGGTCAAGGCTCACCACAATAAACATACCAACGTTATATAAAAATCAGAACCCCAGGATTTTAACATATTAACCCTTGCAGCGAGGCTCCACGGGTTAATGGCTTGTTTTGGTCTAGGGGCTAAAATAAAGAAGAAATACTCACCTGATTCTCGGTCCTGCGGCAGTGACCACTCGCCACCCCCGCCCCACCCCCCCCTCTGGCTGTGGTATGTGCCTCAGCGTCCTCATGTTTAATAGATACGTATTAGACTTGATGAGGTCCACAGGTTGTTAGACTGCCAGAGCCCAGGGGAGAAGGGCTGTGCGGACCAGTGTAACAGCCAAGTGGGACGAAGGATCAGGTGAATATATCTTTATTTTTTGGGTCCTAGACAAAACAAGCGGCTAACCTGCAGTGTGGGGGTAGCCCCACTACATGGGTTAATGTTTAAAAATCCTGGAGATCCATTTTAAGCCAGCGGGTAATAATCAACCTTATCCTAAAACAGCGTAAACCCGTCCTTGTGCAGCTACCATATTCAGAACCATGTTATTAGAGTTGGCATAATGCCCTGAAAAAAGGATATCAATGCATGCTGTATAATAAGAGAAAACAGCAAACAACATACATGTACAAATGATACAAAATACTTTATTATTAAACTAGGGATGCACCGATACCGGTTGTTCGGTATCGAGTACAAGTACCGATACTTTGCTTTCGGTACACTGTGATACCAGTGCTTCCGCTGGCATGGAGCAGGCTTCCTGGGAAATCAGGAAGCCAGGCGGTGAGTAATGACATACCGCCTGGCTTCCTGATTGCCCGGCAAGCCGTCTCCATGTTGTGATTGGCCGGGAAAATGGCTTCCCAGCCAATCCGCATTTAGCCTGCTTCTCGGCCAATCAGGAAGGCGGGCGGCGAGTAATGACCCACCTCCCGGCTTCCTGATTGGCCGGAAAGCCGGCAGCTTCCCGGACAATCCGCATGGAGCTAGCTTACCAGCCAATCAGGAAGCTTTTTTTGTTTTTCGGTACTCGCCGATACCAATTACCGAGTAACGGTAGTACCATTCAGGAAGCCAGGTGGCGTGTAATGACTCGCCACCTAGCTTCCTGTTTACTCGGGAAGCCGGGCAGCGCGTAAAGACTCGCCACCCGGCTTCCCGATTAACAAGAAAGTCTCCTCTTACCTTAGTATGTGCAGCCTGTCACCCCCCTCTGGTACCCAGCCGGAGCCGTCTGGCTGGCCAATCAGGAAGCCGGGCGCCGTGTAATGACGCGACGCCCTGCTTTCTGATTGGCCAGGAGGCCGGCTCCATGCTCCCTCGTCATGAGATGACAAGGGAGCATGAAGCTAGCTTCCCATACAAAGGTAAGGTAACCTTACCTCACGAGGCCAGCTTCCTGATTGACCAGCTTCCCGACCAATCAAGAAGCCGGGCAGCGCGTCATTACACTCTGCCCGGCTTCCTGATTGGCTGGGAAGTTGGCTCCATGCTTTCTCATCACAAGTAACGAGAGCATGGAGCCGCTTCCCAGCCAATCAGGAAACCGGGCAGCGTGTAATGACGCGTTGCCCGGCTCCCTGATACCGGAAGTACTCGTGCTTGGCATCAGAGCATATACGAGTACGAGTACTCGCCCAAATACTCGGAATCGGCACTGATATCGATACTAGTATCGGTTTCGGTGCATCCCTAGTTTTCACCTTTTTTGTTAACTTAAAAAAAAAACATTTTGTGTCTTTGCATATATCTACTGCTCGTAGCAGTAGATATATGCAAAAAAACACAGAAGGTTTAACTGTCCTTTAAATATAAATAGGCTTCAGGATAATTAGTTGCTGTAAACCACATTAATAAGGATAATTTTTATAATATATAGCAAGAAAGATTCTAGCTTGGTAAAATTCTTTGCAGCACAAACCATCTGATTGGTGGCACTTCTATGTACAATTTTATTTGCCTGTATTTTGTATAATACAAAACTGATCTATCTGGTGATATGGAGTTATTATTTTTTGCTCTAACTTACTGCTTTGTGCTCTATGCAGGAAATCGTATTTGGGGCAAAGAACTGAAAGGGATACAGTTGTGCCACGTTGCATGGTCACCAGACGGCAAAATCCTTCTTTTTGGCATGGCGAATGGAGAAATACACCTTTATGATAACCAGGGAAATTTCATTGTAAGTATCAAGGCAACAGTTAGTACAATACTCTTCTTCTCCTAATATGCGAATGTTGGGTTCTTTATATCTTTATTATATTTCTATTACAGGTTCACCTGCTAAAATGTCTTAATTTGATATACTGTTCTTAAGAGTTGTTGGAATGTGTTGTTACAAATGTAGCCTAACTGTTTTGGAAGACATTAGATTGGTGGGTTCAGTTCCTCTTTAAAGGAGAACTATGAGGTGAGTGAAAATCACTGATCCTCATAGTTCGAGCCGACCTGTGACAATGAAACTGTCACACGTCGGCTCTATAGATTGGGAAGTGAGCGAACACATACCGTCACTCGCTCACTTCCCGATTTCCCGATCATCTCCCTGCAGAGAGCCGTGACTGTCAGTCATCGCTCCCCGTATGGATTTCCCCCTCCCCTCTCCGATACTCCTGCGCTGACTGGAGGAACGGACGGGGGAGGGGGCGGGTAAAGCTTGCTCTGCCTCCGCAGCTGGGTAGATCTCGACAGCATTGTCAGGATCCGTCCCGGCTGCGGCGGTCTCAGTATATCGAGCTGTAGCTAGTATGTGTCCTCCCGTGACCCTAAAGAGAACTATGGGGAAAAACACTTACTCTACAGTTCTCCTTTAAGCTCATAAGGTGTTCCAAAATAGCAAAAATAACAAAAATGACGTCTCTTGTAAATGTTACGTGTGTGTGGCTTGTGCAAATTCCTAATGAGTTAACATGAAAGATGTTTTAGGGATGTCCTGGGGAAAGGGACTGTCTTGAAAAGTTTGTGTCTCTGTGAAGTTATAAGGTTCTGGCACTCCATGTCAGACCTCCAGGGCTATGCTAATTTACTTAAATATATTTAAAGGAGAACTATGGGGTTAGGGCTTTTCCCCATAGTTCTCTAAAGGGTAACGGGAGGACACAAACTAGCATCCTCCCATTACCCAAAGCTCAGTATACCGTGAGCTACAGCTCGCAGTATACTGAGACGCCGCAGCTGAAACGGATCCCCACAATTATGTCTGGATCCCCCCAGCTGCGTGAGTGACAGCTGGCTCTGCCTATCTAGAGGCAGAGCCAGCTGTACCCGCCCCCTCCCCCGTCTGTTCCGCCAGTCAGCGCTGGAGGATCGGAGCGGGGGGAGAATCCAGTCACTCCCCTGTCACTGCTCTCTGCAGTGACAGGATCGAGAAGTGAGCGAAGGCCGGTATGTGTTTTCGCTCACTTCCCGATCTACTGAGCCGACCTGTGACAGTCTCATTGTCACAGATCGGCTCAGATTATGAGGCTGAGTGAAAAGCACTCACCTCATAGTTCTCCTTTAATCTTTTTTATTACTTTGTAACTCTTCTCTCCTATCCCCCATTCAACTTTAGCAGAGGCTTTGTTGATTTTCTTATCACAGATGATTTATTAAGATGGTCTAAGATCCCACTTTCTATGGGTTGTTGGAACTGAGATAGAGAACTAAAAAGCAATGTAATTGGTCACCTGACTGATATAAGGATACTGTGTGTCTCTCCTCTCTAGGTGAAGATGGTTCTGAGCTGTTTGGTCAATGTGAGCAGTTCTCTGAGCATTGCTGGAATGCACTGGTACCCAGGCAGTAAGGGATATGTGGAACCAGATTGCCCCTGTCTGGCTATATGTTTTGACAATGGAAGATGCCAGATAATGAGACATGAGAATGATGAAAGTGAGTAAAACTTATATTATATTTATTTTACAAAGGTTTATTGAACTATTTCAAAAATACTGAAGAGACATACTAACTGGGATGCACCGGTACCGATGCTAGTATCGATATTGGTGCCGATACCAAGTATTTGGGTGAGTACTCATACACGCACAAATGCTCTGATGCCTAGCCTGATACCCGAACTTCCTGATCGGCCAGGAAGCTGCTCCCTCGTCACCTTGGCGCTGTGTAATGACTTGCTGCCCAGCTTCCTGATTGGTCGTGAAGCTGGCCAAATGGGAAACCAGACGGCGAGTCATTACCCGCCCCCGGCTTCCTGATTGGCCAGAAAGCCGCCTCCATGCTTCCTCGTCACCTGCTGACGAAGCATGGAGGCAGCTTCCCTGCTAATCAGGAAGCCAGGTGGCTAGTCATTCCACGCCGCCTGGTTTCCTTAATTGGACTTCCAGTATCGGTATTCGGTATCGGCGAGTAAGGAAAAAAAAATGTATCGGTACTCGATACCAAAAAAACGGTATCGGTGCATCCCTACATACTAATAAATCAATATTCTCAAATGTACACATAACTTGGTAGTACACGTAGACGTTACAAGTTAGGCAAAGATAACTGCACCAATTGCAAACGTTAATAAGTTAAACACTAATGTGGATGTGGCCAACGCAAAAGTTCAGATTGACATAAAGGATATTGGATGCAAGGCTGAGGGAGTTGTAAAGTCCCAGCATATCCTCTCCAGGTATAACATCAGCACTGTAATATGTATACATACTGGAGTTGGTTTCAAAATACAATCAAAGCTGAAATGAAAAAAATCCCTTTTATGTTTTGAGTGCTGCCTTCCGTCTGCCAATCACTTCCAACAACTTCCTGGATTCCCAGTGTGCTTTGTGTCTCTTTCCCTGCTGCTTGATGGGATACAATTCCCATTTCTCAATACTACACGTCCCATCATGCATTGCTCCCAGCAAGCAATGATGATGTTACATTGTTCAGATGTTGAGTTGTAGTTCAGAAGGCAGGCTCTGTGAGAGTGGTGACACAAGGGCTGAGTGAAATGGTGTCCTATGGGCATCTTCAATAAGTAAGCTTACAAACTTCTAGATGGATCTGGTTATTAGGAGTGGGATAGAGCTTATGGAAATTCAGTATAGAAATACAGATTTATATTTAGTTTTTGACCATAGATACCCTTTAATAAATACACTGATTACTGTTTAGTTGCTAATTTCTCAGTGTCATACGCTTTTTCTTTCATAGACCCGGTCCTGATCGATACTGCAATGAGTGTGGTCAGCATACAGTGGAATCACTGCGGAAGTGTCCTGGCTATAGCTGGCTCTCAGAAGACCACCACTCAGGATAAGGAAGTCAATATTGTGCAGTTTTATACCCCATTTGGAGAGGTGATTAATAATGGAGCTGATTACCAATGAAGTTATTTCTATATACACACACTGATGAAAAAGGGAGCAAAGAGGTGATGGCTGCGGCAGATCTGATCTCATATAAATGTAAAGACTCGCCACCCGGTTTCCTGATTAGCCGGGAAGCCGTCTCCATGCTTCTCGTCACTAGATGACGAGAAAGCATGGAGCCGGCTTTCTGGCCAGTCAGAAAGCTGGGCGCCGTGTAATGGCGCATTGCCCGGCTTCCTGATTGGCTGGGAAGCCGGCTCCATGCTCCCTCGTAGCGTGTAATGCCTCGCTGTCCGGCTTCCTGTTACCGGAAGCTCAGGTATCGGGCTAGGCATCGGAGCATTTGGGCGAGTACAAGTACTCGCCCAAATACTCAGTACCGATACTAGTATCGGTGCATCCCTAGTTTCTATAGGTAACCCTACTATGTTAGTGTGGGTGGGTGCACACAGGCGTCTTTTACTTCAGTTATGGATCCTTTTTATTCCTTTTCTATATATTGGATGGAAACTCAAGCAGATAGCAGGTCCTCTGTTTTCTATTTGCCAATGTTAATTTAAGGGGCCCATTAACACTAGCTCATATGCTAAAATGGTCCTAACAGATAGACTAGTGTGCTCTGGTGGGTGGGCGGTGTGATGCATCGTCCTACATTTGATGTGCGGTAAAAAAAAATTAATGCATGCACTGCTTTTCTTTTTTCTTTTTCACTGCACTGCGATGCACAGTATTGCGGTACTGTGTGCTACACTGCTCTGAAACTTATGCCACCCAGTAGAAGCGTTGTGGTGCTATTTAAATGAATGGCAGTGCACCTAGCGTACGGTGCAGTGCACTGTACAACAGCATGCAATAAATGCACAGATCTTGCTTTGGGCACTTCCAGAACATGGGGATAAGATCCTAGGAAAAGCGGTACATTCTTAGGGGGTCCAGTATGCTATGGGGTGTTTTTATAAAACATTTGAAGTGCTGAATGTCTGACTCTTACATTCATACCACATTATGGCCACTAGATGGAGCCTAGGAGCGTAGGAACTGTCTGTGCTCATCGGTTCCATCTAGTGGGCAGAATGCAGTGCTGATGTAAAAGTCAGATGATCACAGAGTGAACGAAACATTTTAAAAATACCTCCTTATGTGTTGCAGAAATAACTGCTTTTTCTGCATACTTTTCTCTCTGATTTCTTTCCTATAATGGGCAGGGGTCTCATAATAGAGTTAAATCAAAAATACTACCACTATGGTGTATGAAAATACACAACAATAGGTATGATTGATAACCTATTTTTTTTTTTCTCATAATAGAGGGCTAAGTCTGTTTTAGGGTGGCATTTATTCACTATGGGAATACTTGACACAGCTCCCAGTGCTGGTTTCTTCTTCATGTACACAGTATGCCCCTATATACTGCATTCAGAGCCACGGGGTATAAGCGCACCGATGGGTAGGTATAGGCCCACATACCTTTTAATAAAAAATAGGTACGGCGTAATGTTTACATTTACAAATTGCCTATTGTGTTAGTGTGAATGATGAGGAATGACACCGGATGAAGTTTAAAGTTTCATTTCTGTTATTATTTTTTTCTATGTCAAGCATCTGCGCACCCTGAAGGTTCCAGGAAAACAGATGTCCGCTGTGTCCTGGGAAGGAGGAGGGTTGAGGATCGGGCTGGCTGTCGATTCGTTTATATACTTTGCAAACATTAGACCAGATTACAAGGTAAGAAAGTCAGTTTAAAGCAACACTCCGGGCAAAGTGATCATTTACACACCGCAGTGGGTCATCAGTAAAAAGCTGTGCAGGGGGCAGGCTGAAAAGTACAAAAATGTTACCTTGCAGCAAACCATCCCTTGCGCACCCGGGCAAACTCCCAGCTTCCGGGGCACTGACAGGGAGCAATGCAGCTCCTCTTCACTAGCCTCCATTCAGAAAAGAGGGGAAATCTTCTAATGGGGACACTTGTTGCCTTGACGACTGCTTTAGAGGGGATATTCCCTGCATTGGAAAGATATCCTCTCACTTCCTGTTGAGTCCACAGGACACGAAGTGAAGGGAAATCTCCCTAATGAGAGACAAAAAAAAAACTAACAGTGGTTTTAACTAGGCATGCACCGATACTAATACTAGTATCGGTGCCGATGCCGAATATTTCGGCGAGTACTCGTCTGAATGCTCCGATGCCTAGCCCGACGAGGGAACATGGAGCCGGCTTCCCAGCCAATCAAGAAGCCAGGCACTGCGTCATTACACAGCGCCCGATAATACGAAATCACCTGCACTCCATACAGCATGCAGACCTTGAGTAGGAGGTTGGTGCTTGAAGTGACAACACGGATGGCACGGTGTCAGATACAGTCCATAATAGAAGTCACCAGCCCTCGATGATACATGCAAGAAGTAAAGCACTTTTTATTCAATCGTCACATGCGTCAAACAGGCAACGTTTCGGGGCCACGCAGGGTCCCTTCTGGGCAACATGGTGACAACAAGCATGCAACTTCAGCTTAAATAGTGAATCACACAGACAATTACACAGCGCCCGGCTTCCTGATTGGCCAGAAAGCCGGCCTAGTGACGAGAAGCATTGGGACGGCTTCCCTGCTAATCGGGAAGCCGGGTGGCGAGTCATTACATGCTGCCTGGCTTCCTGAATGGGTCTTCGGTACTCGGTATTCGGTATCGGCGAGTATCGGATAAAAAAAATATCGGTACTCGTACTCGATACCAAAATACCGGTATCGCTGCATCGTTTTAACACTCCCTAATGCTATCCAAAATTAAAGAAAAAGTTCTGGCTGTAGATATTCTTTGTTACTTCATTTTTGTATTTAACATTGTGCTGCTTCTTTTTTTTTTTTCCTTACAGTGGGGCTTTTGCTCCAACACAGTGGTATATGCTTACACCAGACCGGATCGCCCCGAGTATTGTGTGGTTTTCTGGGACACCAAGAACAATGAGAAGTTTGTGAAGTATGTAAAGAGCCTGATATCTGTGACCACGTTTGGCGATTTCTGCATTCTCGCTACCAAGGCTGATGAAAACCATCCTCAGGTCGGTCTGTTACTTCCCTAACGTCACTTCCTGATCCTGTTAAAAGCCAATTGCTGCATACAAAGGCAAGCACAATGCCTGTGGAACAGTGGTTCTCAACCTTTCTAGGGCCGGGACCCTTTGGTAACATTTGCCAAGTTGTGGTGACCCCCAACCGTAAGATTTAGGATGCACCAATACTAGTATCTGTGTGGGCTCTCAGGAGGCTATGCTGACTCTCTGGTGGCGCCCAGTGCGGGCTCTGTGGTGCCCAGTGCGGGCTCTGTGGTGCCCAAGCACTCACCTCCCCTCAGGAGGGAAAAGCCTTAACATATGCTGCTTTAATGATTTCTGGCTCCATGCACATCTAAGATGGTACCGGGGATGTTGCTTCTCAAAAAAAAGATGAACTTGCTTCTGTAATGATCATCTTCTGTTATCTGACACATTAGCTACGTGGTCTTATATTATCTTTTTTTTATTTATAGGATGACAATGACTCTGACAACAACAGAATTAAGGTACATTTTGTATACTTAATACTCCCATTCACTTCTACTTTAGTACAGTTGGTATAAACTTTATCTGTTGCTTATATGCTTTAGGAGGTTTGATTTTTTTTTTTACTTCTCTGTCCTTTCATGTTACACCCATATTTAGGGTGTAACATGAAAAATGGTCACATCTCAACTGCTCCACCTACTTGAATTGAGGGGTTCTTCTCCCTGCATGTTTATTTACATTTTTTAACTCAGCATTGCTGTTCGTGGCCCTCGCCCACACAGCGGCATCATTCATTTACAGATCCTTTGACAGGATCTGTGAATGATGACACTTCAATTCCCAAATGCCACCATGGCAGAGGGTCTTGTAGTTCTGAATTAAAAACAAGTGCGGTGACGTCACTGCACTTGCAGTGTATTGCAACGTTTCTCAACCTTATTTTAGTCATGGCGCCCTTAAAGCGTTTACAACACTTTGAGGCACCCCAGTCTAATATGTATTGGGGGACACCACGTAAAAGTTGGGTTTCATCCTTTCCATTGAAGTCCTCCCTTCAAATCAAGAGCCCCCCTTCACATCAGAGACCCCTTTCACACTTTCACATCAGAATTCTAATTTTTACACCACAGTCCCCTTTCACATCAGTAGCCCCCCTACACATTAGAAGCCCCCTCCTTTTACATCAGATTCCCCCCCCCCCCTTTTCACATCAGAAGCCCTCCCTTTACATCTGGAGCCCCCCTCTCACATCAGAAACCCCCTTTATATCAGAGCTCCGCAGAATCCTTCATTTACATCAGAGTTCCCCATTAACAACGAAGTCCTACCATCACAAAATTTTGAGGCACCTCTGATGAACCAGAAGGCACCCCAATGTGCCACGGCACCCTGGTTGAGAAAGTCTGGTCTATTGAAACTTTTTCCTGTCCATGTTGCAGAACGTCCATACCTCAGTACAGACAGGGATAGTGCAGAGAATCTGCAGGAGCCAGAGCATTGCACCCATGATCCAATGATCACGGTTGCAAAGTTTTACAACGCATTCTCCAATGCAAAAAAAAATCCAAAAAAAGCCCAAATGAAGAATTGCGCATTTATTATTTTAGAAAAGGTGGAAAAATATCTAAAATTTGAATGTTATCAAATATAAACAAAATGTACCCATGACACTGATTTTGCAGGGCAACTCTGGCTACTTACTTTCTGGCCATCTTAACCTAGCTGTAGATTTATATGTGCACAGCAGAGAGGGATAGGGTGTGACTCATTCAGCTGTGTGTGTAATTTGAGCACCTGCTAATAGAGTCTGTTCACAACACAAATTATTCCAAACAAAGCAGTCAACCCGGCTAGAAGGGGAAAGTTGCTTAGAGTTCCATCTGCTGCAGAAAATTTAGTATATTCATAAGCAATTTTTCTATGTTTTAGTCCTGAACATAATAAATATATAAATACATCATATATAAAAACACAAAACATTCACTTTAAATTAGAGGTGCACCGAAACTAACATTTTAAAACCGAAACGAAATCGAAATGAAAAAAAATGTCAGACCAAAAATGTTTTTTATTTTATCTTTTTCAATTTTTTAAATATTTTATTTTTATTAATTTTTTTATAAACGTTTAAATTGTTTTATATTTACTTTTATTTATTAACTTTTTTTAATAAATATTTTTTACTTTTAGCGGTTTCAGGGAAATATTGGGGATCTAAACAGACCCCTGATATTTCCCTTTTAAAATAGAAAAAGAGATTGAGGACACAGAGCCCTCAATCTCTTTTTCTGCATCCCCTGTTATCAATGAACAGGAATCCTTTATACTGAGTGTTCCTGATCATTCATAACATGAGGACAGAGTTTGATTTCTATATCCACAACTATGAATGAACAGGAGGAGATGTAGATCACTTCCCATTCATTCATAATTGAGGATAGAGTAACCATACTCTGTCCTCATTTATCTACAAACACTCAGCGATCACTGATCGCTGAGTGTTTTGTATTCACTCTCCTTCCTGACAGCTGTCACAGGAGGCTGAGCGAGCAGTGCGGGGAGGAGAGCTCAACCTCCTGTGACAGCAATGGCTGTCTCTGCCCACACACCGCTCAGCCGATCTGTGATAGGCGGCCAGTGGTGCGGGGTGGAGAGATACCGGCCGCTCACAGCGCTCTCCTCTCGCACCGCTCAGCCTCCTGTGACAGTTTCTCTCCTCCCCGCTGGGACACAGAGCAGCGCCCAGCGGGGAGGAGACAAAGAACCGATGCACCACTGTATCGGCAAGAAACATTATGCCAAAGTGCCATTTTCGGCCGATATGTTTCGGCGGCCGATATACCTGGACGTTCGTAATTTGGGCATTTCGGGCCGAGCTTTTACAGCGATTTGCGGTCCACGAAAGTGCGTCAAACGCGCGTTTACGAGAGCTATCCGGCTGCATCTTAATGGATACGCGCGGAAATACGCCCCAAAGAAGCTCCTGTACTTCTTTGGGCGTAGGGCGTTTTTCAGCCCATCACAATGTGCTGAAATACATCCAGGTGGGATCCATGCCCATAGAACATAATGCTACTTGACTGTTTGAGCGTTTTACAGCGCTTCGATCAGCGCTGTAAAACGCCCAGGTGTGAACCAGCAATTAAAGTGACTCTAAACTCAGAACTTAAAGTGACATTAAACCCTCAGATTTTGTAACATAAAACAATACTGTAATGTGCGCCTTCCTGTAATCCATGGTTGTTTCCCTTCTCTTTGCTGCTCTTCCTTTTAAATCCTCATGTCTTCTCATGCTTGGGGAGAACTTCTGTTTTGCAGCAGACTGCCTTGTCTCAGGAATGGATACATGGTGTCTGTGTGAAGGTTCACAACCTGAGCCAGCACTACAGGAAGAGGCATTTAGCTGCAAAGGGAAGTTCTCCCCAAGCATGATAAGAGATACAGATTTAAAAGGAAGAGCAGCAAAGAGAAGGGAAACAACCATGGATTACAGTAAGGCGCACATTACAGTATTGGTTTATGTTAAAAAAATGAGGGTTTAATGTCACTTTAAGTCTTACAAATGCATTGAAATACCTTTAACTCTTAACAACAATGTATCTTATTTGTGTATCACTCGGCTGTAGATCCTCCAATCATCTCTGCATTTGTGCTGACACTGTCCTTCCTTCTGGAGGTGCGGCTACTTTTGTTTCCCATGGTCCCTGTGTGTGCTGTAAAGTAGTCACCGCTCCAAGCTCGCTCCCGTGGTGGACTACAATCTCAATACAAATTAGTAAACTAAACGTGAGATTGTAGTCCATCACATTATATGAATTTGGTAAATAAAAAGGAGAATGTACACAGATTGTACAATAAGAGTGTAACATGTGTGTCTAGCTTTACCTTTTACTAAAACTAAAAAACCTTAGAAAACTCTTCTTGTTGAAGCTTTTGTTATAACAATGTTTATAGCTGTTTCTAACTATGCCTTTTGTCCATCCTTTAGGGAACACCGGTCTCTGGAGGACAGGTTAGTGTTCTATTCCTTTTATTCTGGCTTTGCTGAGGTTGCTGTGAGTTTTTTTTAAACAACTTTTATCTACAACTAAAGATTTCTGTATGGCACTCCTAACAGGTCCCACACCCAGTTACTATGTGATGCTCAAACCTCATAAATGATCAAAACCAAAAACTTTCTTCACCTTCCCTAAGTGAGCTAAATCCACCTTCATTTGTGTCTCACTCGCTCCCCTTCCCAGACACTGCAGCTCACAGTGGGACAGTTTAGTAGAAGCGGAAAGCACTGCAAATGGCTAGGTGTGGGCAGCTGCCGACTGACAAGCTACAGGCTTTTGATTGAGCAGTGAAGATGCTGATAACCATAACACCTGATGTAAACGCATGTAAATCTCCCCTGTTCTCATGTCTAGTTGCCATTTCATGGACAGTGTGTAAAATATGCATTTCTGTGATTTCCTTAGTGGGTATCATTTCCTGAATTACTTTTGGCTCCCGTCTGAATTGGTCCCTGTAGGTGTTTTGGATGTATAAAGGCACAATGGCTTAGGGAGTCTCTGCATGGATTTTGCATGTTCTCCCTGTGCTTGTGTGCGTTTCCTCTGGGTACTCCAGTTTCCTCCCACACTCTACAGACATGCTGGAAGGTTAATTGGCTCCGGTCTATATCGGCCCTCGTATGTATGTATGCATGTGAGATAGGGACCTTAGATTGTAAGCTCCTCCAGGGCGGGGACTGATGTGAATGTGCTCTATGTAAAGTGCTGTGCAAATTGCTGGTGCCTATAAAGTGCCTATAAAATCAGCATCTGCGCTTTCATGCCGCCAACTGTGTGATTTTGTTTATATATATATATGTATATTTATGTGTATTTCTGATAAGATTCTGTTTATTCTGCTTACTTTTTAGTATGTTCTGGTTTTATGTAATTCCATTGGAACTCCACTGGATTCAA